TCAATGACTTGTATTTTTATTTATGTTGATATTTATAAAGAACATTGTTATGACAAATATATCTTTTATAGAATTGTATTGTATAGAAATATCAGCATGTATTATTAAACATATTTTAAAATTAAAATGTAAAAGATAAACTAATAAAAAAAAACCAGTCTAAAATGTTTTAAACAAGTACATATAAAAATATAACTAAAATAATAATATATTATGAAACATGTAACTTAAAATATTTTGCCAAATGTTCTAGTTATGACATTTGCTTTTGTAAATTAATGATATAATTGAGAAGTCAACTTAATGACTGTTAAATAACTAAATTTGATGACTAAATAATTATTCGACTAATAATTTAAATGATATTTTAAAATAATTTTTTAAAATAATTAATCCAAAACATACCAAAGAATTCTTTATTTATTTAAAAAAAATATGATAATCTGACATATTTTCATATTTTTCTTATTTAATATATTTTACTTTTAAACTTTCAATTCTGGATAGGTAACATATAACACCTATTTTCAATCAGGGTTACCAACTTTCTAGTACAAAAAAAGGACATTTCATGGACATTTATAATATAGTTTGTTATAAATATTTTTCTGACCATAAATTACAAAATGTTAAGTAGACAATAAATAAGTTTTAAATTCAATTTTTGAATTATTACCAACTGTTTGTACAGTATAATGCCATCCTAATTGGGTCCATAAATCTTACCTGCTTATCTGACTCTGATTAATAGAAGGTAGTGTTATTCTCTTTCTGTTACTCTAATGAATCATAAAGATTTAGAATAAGAAAATAAAATATTGGATCATCATCTGCCAATAATATTTTAGAATTAAACAAAAAATTAAAATTGTACTCAAAAGATGTCATTATTGATAAAATGGAAGACAATACAATTCAACAGAGGGCAGTCAGCAACCCTATTATCAATAAAAGTGCTCTTATTTTATCATCAATAATGAATTTTCTGGTTTCAATTTTTTTAATATAGAATAATTTTATTTATTTTTTATTTAATAGACAATGTGATATATCTTACAGTAGTAGTTATTATTATCTTGTAAAAGATTGAATAATTACTGTATGTTTTATATGCTAACATAACAATTTTCCTTTATAAAATTGCTATTTATTTTGTTGAAAAGAAAATAAATAATACAAGCAATTATTTATTGTGACATCGTCACAATATCAAGCTGCAATTTTTATTCATATTTTTTAATTTATTTAATTTAAAATATATGCTTTCCACCTCAAATTAGTAGTGGCTTTCCCCTGTATATCATACTTCTCCTTTAACAACAGAGTCATTCTGGTCATCTATCTAACATCTTTCAGGAGAAAATATTTGAATTAAAATAACATGACTTCTGGTTTTCATGAAAAGTTCATACATAGTTAATCAGGGCCGCCTGCCCCAATGCTATCCATATTTGTTCTTGAATTTCATTTATCTAACACTGTTCTTGAGATTAAGGACGGACAGATCGGCACACAGATGACAGTGGAATTTATGACTTCAATTTTTCCAAATTGCAACCCAATATGAGTATATATGGCTAATTGATGCTATCACAAGTTTAACTGTTTACTTGTTCCATTCGTGTGATTTTAAATCTTATGTAAAAATAAAATTTTTCTACCTTTCTGTTTTTCTTCTAAATTATCAAGTCTTTCATAGAAGCAGTGCCGGCCCGAGGCAAGTTTTAGGATGGAGCGAGATCCTATTATGGCGCCCCCTTGGTCAGTAGCGTAGCGAACATAACTGGCGCTCGGGGCACGACACTTTATTGGCGCCCCCTCCAGAAACACATATAGTTTGTCTTGGAGACCCTTTGGGCGCCCCTCTGCGAGTGGCGCCCGGTGCTTGATACACCCCCTTGCACCCCTTCGCTACACCACTGCCCTTGGTTGCCCCAAATTTATACCCTTTAATTTTCTTTACCACTGAGGCGCCCCCTAGGACTTAGCGCCTGGAGCGGCTGCTCCTTTCGCCTTATGGTAGGGCCGGCTCTGCATAGAAGGACCACTTTGTCTATGATTATCTCTGTGATTTCGATAAATAATTTCACAGTAGTAATTTTTGATTCATTTAGAAAACAAAGATAAACTAATATCATGCTTTAAAATAATTTTTCCCAAGTGACAGGAACAGAACAGGATCTGTTCTGTTATATAGTTTCTGTTTCAAGCAAGAAACACACACAATGCTGATAAACATTAAACTTAATTGTACTATGAAGATAAATTATAGGAACACTCAAGATTCTCTTATGCCATGATTCTAGTATTCACAATATTTTCCCTCTGTTTGAGGTGCAATGAGATAAAGGATAGTGCCCAATGACACACTTGATCTGATAAATTCTTCTCAACATACCAGTGGCATGCCATCATTGGAAACGGTGGAAATGCTGCTTCCCTTATATTTCTAAAATATAAATATATATTGTGTGATTATTTTCATATTTTAACGTACTTTGAATTAATTAAAATTAATATTTTATTGTAACTGCATTATGTATCTTATTACAAATTTCTATATTACATGTGAAAAAAACAATAAGATTGCTATTGTATATTCGAATATCAGTGGCAGAATGAAAGCACTGTATTGTCAAAACCAGGTCAGCTTCCAAGCAGCCAGATTATATGCATTCACACATGCACTTTACAGAGCATCAACCTCACATGGTTTAGCTAGCGGAAGCTACACACGAAAATGCTTCCAATGATTCTATCCAGGACCAGTTCTCAGCTGTTAGCCATCTGCATGCTAGATATATGGCTGCCCTCACCTAATTATGTGAATAGTGTTAACACCCATCCGGTTTTCACCCGGACAGTCCAGGAATCGACTCACTGTCCAGGTGAACTATTAATTTTGTCCAGGAATATCGTGAGCAACCTGTCGACCTTTTTTTTTTGCTTGTAGGATTCGTATTCATACACATCTCCAATATCCAATACAGCTAAGTCATCTGTAGTGTTCTTTCTTAATTTAGGTTACTTACGTTACTCCTACCCAAGTCTCCCTAGTCCCTAACTGTAACTGATTTAGAACCAGCATGCACTGCATGTTATTATGCATTGTCTTCTTGTGTGCAATTGTTACAGTACTTTCTACCTCATATGCTGATTTAAATCTACAACTCTTCAGTAAAGCTTTCATTTTGGTGAAAACTATAAACAAAAGGTTATGAGAAGGTTATGGGAAGTTATTTTGCCAGATATTCACTAACCAGGAGAGTACAATGTGATAGGGCATTGTTGTGATGGTTGTTGCTTGCTAGATACAAGGTAGTTTTCATCTTGTGTCATGAAGACAATCAATAATGTCAGTATAAGACTCCTTGTTACCAGACCTGTTGGTGGGAACAAACTTGTAATGCATTAGGCCTTTCATATTAAAATGTGCTGCAATGAAAAGGCACCGTAACAACTGCATTGAAGAAATTAACAGAGTTGGTAGCCAAACTATTTTAATAAGTGGTACAAGCATTGGCAAAGTGTGTAGTTACAGAATCTGAAAGGTGATCTTTTGATTCAGTAACTACACACTTCAGGAGTTCAGTTTACTCTGAAGGGGATCTTCTGTAAATACTGGTACTATTATTATAATAAAAACTGTATATGGTAGTCGAAAATAAGCCAAACTTAAATGTACAATTAACTTTTACAAACTTTTTTACAATCAAATATAAAATTTTATTCTATTATATTGGTGATAAGTGTTTTGAGAAACACAAAAATCATTATTCTCAACTCATATATTAAATAAAATTTTAATTTCTTCGAATAAATTTAAACATTTGATTTGAAAAAGGCTAAATTTGCACAACCTTAATGCCAAAATCATTGGGATTTTTTAAAATTAATTTTGCTTAAACTGATTTCATTAAATCAATTTTAATAAACTGCATTATTATTATTTGTATTACAATTTTTTATAGCAGTTGAAGCAAATTATTTAATACAAATTATTACTTGCTAATTATTATTGTTACAAGCAAAGTTAAATAAATATACTGTATAAAAATTTTCAGACAATTTTATTTTATAATAAAATTTTAATATAAAACATTGGTTATGATTTAAATATAATTCTTAAATTAATCTTGATCTGTTTCAAAATATTTATATTAAATTTTAAATTAATTTTTTCCAAAACAATTTTTTTCCCATTTCTTTCTCTCATACTTGAATAAGTAACAATTATTTATAGCTTTATTTAGCAGTATGAATAAAAATCATATACATATACATTACAATTATTCAAGCATTATATTGTGAATTTTATATATTTAGTATTTATAAAATTTATACTTTTCTTATATATATATATCCTAAATGACTATTTTCATAAACCATTCCTTAAATGATAAATCTAAATTATGTTATTGCAATATCAAACTTTAAAAATAAATGCAAACTGATATTTTTTGATACTCTTTTCTATACAATGTTATTGAAATTGCTACAAATTAGAAATAACACATTTGGTAGTTCTAATATTAATGGAGGTTAAGAATACTATTGATCCTTTTTCTAATAAATAATTGTTATTCTCTTCAACTATTATATTCTAACTAAAAATAATTATGCACTTGTTAGTTGTTTATATAAAAATAGTTTATGCTTCATGTAGTTTCTTAACTTTTAAAAATGCTTTAAACTGTTCTAAGCATATGTCATTTTACATCAACAGATAAAAGCAACTTTTTCAATCATTATCATTAAAAAAATGATATCTCCTGATCCATTAGATCACTCTTACTAGCAATTTAATTCTGCATTTAAAAATGTAATAAAATAGTATATAATTTATTAAGCAATAGATCAAGGTTTTAGAACTAAAAATCAGTATTATTATTGCTTAAAACCTTAGATATAATTAGCTACGTCTTGCTCCAGCTGTGCAGAACTCTAGTTAAACCAAAACAGTACACTGTAGATTACAGGAATATTTATTTTATCTCATATTTACAATTTATAATTTTATTCTCACTTCACATAATAATGTATTCTAATATTCACTTAATACAGTATATCAAATTTACAATTAAACAAATTATTTTCTCATATATCTTCAACAATTATTTTATTTATCCAGTTTGCCTAAATGAAAATAAATCTTAATTAAGATATTAACATTGAAATTAGTCATCAATATTAATTAAAACAAAAATATTTTTAAACCCATATATTAATAACTTATTAATTAATATCAAGCTTTAGCAGCAAATGCAGCAGGACCTTTGGAAATACCAGTAGTTTCCTTCTCAAGCTGCCGACCAAGATACTCCCAGTTATATACCATTAATTTCTGCACACACAATAGTGCTTGATATCGAACATTGGGATCCGTATGCGTTAACAACTGCATAACTAATTGCTTTCCACCCAATTTTTCTATCACTTGCTTTCCACGGGGATAATGTCGAACGTATTCTCCAATATCGTGAGCAGCAACACTCAATACTAAAGGATCCGTGCTTATTTCTAAAAGTCGAATAAGAATCTTCAACAATTCGTAATTTTTCTCATTCAACCTGAAGGCATTCTCTCTCCAAAACTTGGCAGAATTATGAACTGGACTCCATTCTAAGCGAGTCGACATCAATTCAGACGAATACTCATCAAACGAACTTAGATCTTGCACACTAGCTTGTAAGGTTTCATTTAAGAATTTTATATCTTCTTCAATATCTGGATCGTCACACTTACGTCCTTGTAAAATTTCCAATTGTTTTAACACCTTACATTGTACCATCGCAATGGCATTATCTCTGCTGCTCTCAGAATTATCTGGTTTTTCAATCAAATTACGAAAAGTGGCCAAAATAACTCTCCATACCTTTTCTTTGGCTGACTCACTGAGAATATCCGACAGAATCGGAATTACTTTATATTTACACATTTTTTCGGCCAAGAAGCCGTTAAAAGTCATCACCCAAAGGCAAAAGATCAGCTGATACTGAATTTGGAAATCCACCTTGCCCGCCAGCACCGTCACGATGGTGGAAACTCCGTCGACGGTGACAAAAATCATCCTGTACTCGTCTATACGAAGCATCATCTGCAGACAGCGAGCAACAGACTGTATGTACTCGTTTCCCGGTATTCGCAACTGATCCTTTAACCAAGTGAGATACAAGTGAAGATCCGATCCGTCCATTAACTCGTGACTCCAACAGGCCATTTTGGCTATGATTCTGCCGGTCATGTTCGTGATAAAGGGATCCTGTCGGCTCAGTAAATTTGTAAAATTCTTCCAAACGGATTCGTGTTTACGCTTTGCGTAATCCTTAAATATTTCGACTCGAGACTTATCTTCTTGAAACATATCGTCGATCATAACAAGAACTCGCTGTAATGTTTGTTCTTTAGATATGTGATGTATCAAATTAAGAAATGTCCGAACGCATTTAGTTGGGTTTTCTTTCAGTAGTTGCTCTCGTTTCCCGGGCAGCGAGGAATCGAACTCTACGATCAGGTTGTAATCGTCTTCCGAGATCATCTGAATTTGCAAATACGACTGCCAGCTAACAGTTAGCGATCGAATTTCGTTAGCTTTTTGTTGAAGAACGCTGGTAGCAGCGTACATTCCGCCTTTCTCGATATCATCTGGCAACGAAGAGAGCACAGAGTTATACTTCGACGACAAATCCATCTTGAAAACACACTTTCTTGCCTATAACAACAAAACCGCTCCCACAACTTACACTCCGTCACGTGAATTACGTTTAACGAGTATGACGTCACTCACTGCAATGGCGTACCAGCTGATACGAGATTATTTCTCGAAACGATTTACAAAATGCAATCATTTAACGGAATAAACGTTTATTTAATTTTAATAATAATATTTTGAGAAAAGTTTTATTATTTTTGATAATAATTACTAAAATTTTTTTATAATAGTTTTATTATATGTTATCGTTTCCGATAATTTAAAAAACAAAAAAAAAATCAAAATTGAATTAAGATAAATTCTTTAAGAGTATATTTATATCGAAATAAATTAAATTTATTAATTGATTAGTTCTGGCAATGTTTAAAAACCGACAGAAATGTCGGATCGGCCTCCTCTCCACACTCGGGTTAAGCCAGGACCACAATGGGCCGGGCTGGACCCATATTTTCTTATGTTTACTATGTTAAAAGTCATCATTGGTGCACCCAAAGGGGAGGCCATGGGGTCTCGACACCCTCCAAAGAAAAAGGAAAACAAACACTAGAAAATAATCCAAAAATTTTTAATTAAAATTCATGTTTTAATTTAAATGGTGTTGTGTTTGTTTGTTAATTTATGGAGCGCAACACTTGAGCAATCTGTCTAGGAGGGATGCCTTTTAAGAGTAACTGGCCCCTATTTGGGCGTTACAGACGTGGAGAAAACCCAGAAAACTCCATGTGACCAGCCTGTCCTGGACAGGTGCCAACCCACGACTGAACTACCGGTGTTCGGGGGAACAGAACCGCTTGGCCACTGGTGGGCCTGTATGGTGTTGTCTTCTGTTTCTAAACTATTTACGAATTAGCGTGGGAATTTTATTGAATTCACGTTAAAAGTTTTTTATTCATTCAACTGGGCTTCCTAAAATTAGATCCTGAGTGTCCTACTGANATTGAAGATGAAAATTAATTTAAAATAGTCTTTACGAATATGTAAAATGAGATTTAAAAGTTTTGAATCAAAATTAGATTAATTTTTATATCAAAAACCATTTTCCATTTAATCTTGGGTTTAATTAATCATAATATAGCTTTTATAAACTTAATTTTATCTGTGTAAATTAGTAGATGTATATAATATAATTTAAAAATAATAAGGAAATAAGTATTTTATATTAAACAATACTACAGTTTTAAAATGAATAAAATTAAAATGAATAATTTTTAACATAATTATTCATTTTAATTGATTAAAAAAATACACAATTGTGTTAAGGAGAAAAAGTCTTTAAAATTTTTTTGTTTTTTAAATAATAAGATTGTTATAATTGTTTTTAATATACATTTATATTTTTTAATTTAAAAACTTCAAAGTCTTCACAATAAATGTAATTTATTTTTATTACTTTAAAAAAATTTTTCAATTAAATAAAGCGAAATTTTAGAAACAAAAAAAATAATGAGAGAAAAAAACTATTCTATATTTTAAAATGCTTTTTTATTTGTGTTTTTATTGGAAACTGCAATTTGAACTGTTATAGCAATTATTTTTTAAATGATTCTTAGGTGATGCTGAACACATTTTTGATACTTGCAAACATATTTTATGAGTTCTCGGATTGCATTTGAAAATTTTGAAAGATGCAATCTGAGATAGTTTAATATTATTTATTTGAGAATATTTTCGTCAATATTTGTATTCTGTATTATTATTTTCAAAAAAATGAGCAGAAACTCTCTTTTAGTACTGATAACAAACAATCTTACTAATAATAAGAATAGATGTTAGAGAGTGATCTTAAATCGATTGGTTGAATGTATTTTAAATAATGACATTATGAAATTTCTGGTGTTTAGTCTATCAGTTTTTCTTTCTAAACAGCCAGGAAATAAAAATATCTCATTACTTTTACCATCGTAGAAATTTGTAAGGAGTTTCAAATCGAAAGAATTTTTGGAAAAGGTATTAAATCGCTTGATTTGAAATCTTATAAAGAGGATTTTGGAGTATACATACTCCAAAATACTCTATATAATCCAATTCTACTCCAAATTCGAATTAGAATCTTTAATCACATTTAAGTATTTCTTATAGCTCCATCCTGACCATTTCTAATCTTCGAATCCGATGCAAACCTCTTGATTCTTTAAAGTATTAACTTTCATGTAAATATTCTCGTATTAATTTTTAAATTATTATTTATGCAATATAATCAATCATTTTGCGATCAACCTTTTAATACGATATTCTGTACACATTTAGATCATCTCTATAAAATATTTAGTAAGCTCGTTACTTCAATGTATTCAATAAAATATGATAGATTTTCTTAAACTTATACGGTAGTATATTAGCCTATCATTATATAATGATGACAGAGTATTCAGATGACATATTGGTCGAAAGGTATCTTGAAAGCAGAAAAAAAAACTGTCTTTTTCCTTTCATAATAGGCTTTAGTGCATACAGAAGAGTCTAAATTAGAACGGGCATTGATGAGAGAGAAATATAATTAATTGCAGCTTATTCTATATATCTTTGAAGATTACTCCTATTATTATTCATGTTTTTGCTTCTAGTAATTAGAGAAACAAATATAATACTGTCTGATATATAGGTATATATATATATATATATACATACATATATAGTTATAGTTATTTTAAAATACATTTTGAAGAGTTAAGAATTTCTTTTCAGAGCTATACAAAAACAACCAAGAAAATAACTGTCTACTGGCATTAGTTTGACTTTAATACCAAAAAACTCACTAGTACTTTCAATACTATATTGTATTAATTAATGTCATCGTCTGGCTAGTCAGATTTTAAAGCCTCTTAAAACAAAAATTATGTATTTATGTATGTTCCAGATTTGATTTGAAGATAACATTAATACAATATTGAAAGTACTGTACTAGCAAGCTTTTTCTTATTTTGTTAATTTTCAGCATATAGTGTGCAAGTACTTTGGAACCAAACACAATACATTGAAATTCCATTTTCAAGTAAATTGTTCTATGTATATTTAAATATAAATTACCAACTAAATATTGAAACTCACATTTAATTAATAAGACTTACGTCATGTCTTTTTTATTTGCAAATAATTCTGCTTCAGACTTCATCCTAATTCCTAAGACTTTATCGTCGTGTCCCAAAAGAATTATTTTTTCGGAATTTTTATCTTCATTACTAGTTTTCGAATAGTTTACGTAACCAGTGGATAAATTTTTAAAAATTTGTTGAAGTATCGGCACACCTATCCTCGATAATTCTTGTGATAAATATATACATCTTGTTAAATGAAAATTTTTCTTTAGCTGAAATATAAATTTATTAAAGAATTAATTTATTATTTACATATATTATTATTATTTATAATGATCAATATTAAGTTTTTGTATCATAGTGATTTTACTATATAATTCTATACTTGTCGAATATACACTGTAGACAATTTTGAAACACTACATTTAAAAAGTTTTTTTTTTAATTCTATTTTGGTAAATTAATTTGAAATGTCATTGAATTTATTTTTAAGATTAACCACAACTGATATAAAATAATTTAAATGATTAATTTAAATTATTTTATACTAATCATAGCAACAGTTTTTTCGATAACTGTTGCTATGATTAACAGTACAAGCATGTGATAAGTGTTAATTTGGCAAATATTACTTTTATTTACTTTAAAAAAATTGATAATTTAAAAATTATTATTAGAAAAATAAAGAATTTGAATCGATGTCAAGAAACTACTCGAGGTTAAACGTGGTAAATTTATTTTTATCACAGGATGTGTCAACAATCCAAAGCTTTTAAAGCCTTCAATAACGAGGTACATACATTCGTTGATAATCGAGTCACGTAATAACACGTTTCACAAATAACATGTTCGTTGGCAACCGATAAATTAAACAAATATATAAACATATTTATATATTCAATTTACTCACAATAACATTATAAGTCGAAAGATATAAGAACGATCGAGAAAAGAAAGGAAAAAGTCTAGAGGACGACGTGCCATTCAGCACATGTTTACAGACGAGTGTCGCCATCTTCTAAATATTTATAGCACACGACGATGTGGTGTTTCGGAGAAGAATTAAAAAATGTCGAAGTCATTACATAAAAGTAAGTTTAATTTTACTAATTTTTTAATAAATAAATTAATGCATTCGTTATAAAATTATTTATGCTTCTACGCGTAAATCATTTATCTAATAAAGGCTCGAAAATTGAACGAATTTCCTACAATTTACCTTCCCGAAATAACCGAAACAATTTAAAATTTGGATGGGTTAGAAAAAAATATTAATGAAAAAATTAAATTTATGTAATTTTGGCAGTAATTTTTAACGTTTTAATCTTCTATTTGATACAATTTATAACCATTTGTTTTTAAAATTGGCACGCAGCTTGAAACCATTATACCTTATGAGAGTTGACTTTGTTTACATCTATTTCATGCAATTATTTGGGAAAAAAATTAATTTATTAAAAATTTATACAATGTAATTGATATTTTGAGTGCAAATTCTTATTATCTAATGTATTACTGATAAAGTATTTGAAATTTCTATTAGTTGTGATATTTAATCTAATAGAAAAAACAAGGAAACATTTACTTTAAAATATTTAAATTAATATTTTATAGTTTTCTTTCCTAGAAAGAATAGCAGAAAGCTTATTTACTGTATATAAAGAAAAAAAAATGTTAGGAAAAAAGGAAAATTATTGGTAGATTTGAATGTAATAGATTAATTTTTGTTAGAAGTTTAATTATTGGTAGATTTGCATGTAATAGATTAATTTTTGTTAGAAGTTTAATTATTGGTAGATTTGAATGTAATAGATTAATTTTTGTTAGAAGTTTAATTATTGGTAGATTTGAATGTAATACATTAGTTTTTCTTACAAGTTTAATTGTATTAAATGGTTTTATATAAATTAAATTAAATATCATTTTTAAAAATATTTTTATTTATAATAATAATATTTTAAAACTGTTAAAGTTTATTAATCCTTTAATTCAAATTATATTGTTAGCAAAATATTTTTCCCTTTTTTTTTTCAATAATTTTCAAATTTTATTTAAATTA